GCTTTGGAGTGCTGGGGGCACACTTTGCACGGACAAGCAATGCACACTCACTTGTTGCATTCCCACACATTTGTGGTGTTGCATTCGAGCACAGATGGTGGGGGGGCCTGCGCATGTCCGGATCGTCTAGCGCACAGGATTGGTGCAAAGATTGTGGTGTGCTGGTGCTGCTCTGTACCAGGTTATCATCATAAACTGGGAAGTCTTGCTGTTCACCCTTCCTTATGACTACCATTTGCCACTTTGAAGCGTGGCTTGGTTTTCCAAGGTTGCTTTGATACCCTCAGGCATTCTACTGATTTTGTGTGCTGCATCTAAGCTCTTGCAACTTGTGGTGTCAACGGTGAAATTAACAAATATTGTAGTACAAAAACTGAGGATGAATTTGTGCCTGTCAACGCCCTGCACAAGGTAGCGCTTAATCGCGCATGAGCAAAGTAATCAAATGGACTGAGAGCTTGTGTTCATCCCAGAATTTGTTGGCTGCTCACCTTCCCTCTCTGGCGCTATACGGGTGAACCCTTGGAGCATAGACAGCGTGGCGGATGGCATCTACTCAGCGCTCACTATGCCCCTGGAAGACCAGCAGTTCCGGCACGACAAGCATTGGCGTTACGTATCGCAGCACACTGTGGCCTTCTGGGCGCAGTCGTACACGACGGAGTTGGAGAGGATCACGCAGGGCCACCACACCATGAAGTGCTACAAGCTGGGGCTTGGGCTGAACACGTTCCGGATGGTTGCACTGGACAAAAACTTTAGGAAACTTGATCCCTCCCAGCTGTTGGGGGCCTACAACAAGTGAGTGGCCATGGACTCTGCTCTTCATCTGAAGAAGGGTGCTTGAACTTCTGACTTAAGAGTACCATGTGTCTGTCACACACTGGTGCATCTTTGCGGTTGATCTACATTTACGAAACCCATTCCTTGAACAAGCGAGTTAGTCCGTGTAAGCGTGTGGTGGATGAGATGTGTAGGGTTCTTGGCTAAACCAAAGGCAATGCAATAAACCTGTTTGATTGTGAATGCACATTGGATATCAATTGAAGGGGATCAGCATCTTGTCAGCTAACAGAGAAATGTGCAGCATGTTGTCCATTGGGGACCTGCATCACCCAAACAAAGTCAATGTGTAGCTGGTATGTGCCTGCACATGCATTCACCAGTATGGAAGCATATCGGAGTTTTACATCAATTGAAATGATGCTTATTTCCATCACGAATGGGCAACAATTTTGTTCGTTTTAGATGAAATTGAGGAGTTTCGCATCTGCTGTTGGTTCATCCATTGGCCTTTAAGTTTATGGCATCTAAACCTACACTGCTGTGCCATATCCATGGAGAGCAAAATAGCTTCATAGCAATAGTTTTAAAGCACTAGATTGCTCTTGCCAAGGCCTTGTTTCGATTCTGCAGATCAAGTCGCCGTGTACTCCTTCTGGACTACGATGGGACTCTCATTCCACCAAACTGCCTGAAGCCCAACCCTCCCAGCAAAGTGCTGGCAGTCTTGAATGCACTGTGTAGCGACAAGAAAAACTTGGTATACATGATCAGTGGGCGAGCAAAGAAAGATCTGGCCGAGTGGTTTGGTTCTGTGGTGAGCAACTGTTTGATTCCTGGAACCTGCAATCATGAAATTATTTACACTGTCACTTTCGTGTCATGGTGAATGCATGTGCGGATCACAGGACCGTTGAAGAGGTGAATGTGGCCTGGGCTGCGAAGTGGAAAACTAAGGACACCCTGTTCCAAGTGAAAAGAATGGACATGTGTAATGCCCCTGTGGTTGTCTGCATTCGCTGACCATTGCAAACTCAGTGAATGGCGATTTTCTAATGGATGTGCTCATTATTCTGTCACTGGCTGTGTATTTGACTGCCCTTGCATGCTGACTCCCAGCCTATCATTATATGTGGACTGTTCATGATGACTATTCATGCAGTTGAGAGGCTGGCAATGGAGGGTGGCTGTGCCAAATTGCCTTCTTTGCCTGTGCCTCTGTGCGGATTGTCGGTCAGCCAAACAAACACGATTGTAGCTCATGTTCCGAGCAAGGAATTTGCAATGAGACGCTTCTGCACACTGTAGAACATGGTGCAGAACTGAATAGCATGAATTGTACAAATTTGTTTTCCAGGTGTTGTTGAATAATTAAACGCCCAAACAATGCAATGTCAATATTCAATATTCAGATAGAATGTGCAGGCTATACTGTTGTTGAATGATATGAAACAAGGCTGTGCCTGTGTCACAGGATAATCTGGGCTTGGCTGCAGAGCACGGCTTCTTCTTCAAGAAGATAGGTTCCGACAAATGGGAAGCTGCGCATGGTACAGACGACTTCAGCTGGAAGCAGTTGGCATCAGAAACAATCAAGCATTACACAGAATCAACCGATGGTACCACACTTGAGGAAAAGCAGAGTGCACTTGTGTGGCATTATCGGGATGCAGATCCAGACTTTGGAAATTGGCAGGTATGGTTCTGCTGGTCCACAGGGCCCAGCCACGATCGGCCCTGAACCCTTTTGTATTGCTCAGTGGGCCAGGCCAGCAGGTGCTGCCGGTTTTCATGGAGGGGGGGCCTCTGGAATGTGCAAGGTGTCAAATATGAGCCTTCTGTCTGAGCAGCACCAAAGGATGTCCTAAAACGCTTTCAGTTGTGCCTCTGGCAAGCCAGCATATAGCCTGCCCTGTGACACGCCATTGTTTCATCAGTTCCGGATTCGATTCTTTCCTCTTGTGTAGTGACATCATCAAGGGACAGTTTTTGTCATATGCTATGGCAGTAAAAAACCTCCCAGTGTGTTTCGGATGGGACCTGTGCTGGCTCCCACATCAGGCTGCGTGCAGGCCTGATGTGAGCTGATATATCTTGTCTTTTCCCTTGAGGTACGTGGAGCCAAGCTCCGCTTCAAGTGTTTGGCTTTTCACTGTTTCAATTAGAACTATGCACTGCATATGTGCGTGCAACCGATCATGGTATGGAATCTACACTGCAGATGCAATCTTTTGTGTGTGGAGATTGAGAAAAAGTCGTCTTGGCGCTTGCCCGATAGGCCAAGGAGCTAATGGATCACCTGGAGGAGATACTGAGCAGCGAACCTGTGGAGGTTGTGAGCGGGCACTTCATTGTGGAGATCAAGCCGCAGGGCGTCAGTAAGGGGCAGATGGTGGAGCGTGTGTTGACCGAGGCCACCACAAAGGGGAGCCCGCCAGACCTCGTGCTGTGCATCGGGGATGATCGTTCAGATGAGGACATGTTCACAGCCCTGGAACAGGTCGCTTTTTCGCCACACATGCCAGCAGAGGTGGGTGTCATAACTCCAATGCACTTCTGTGCTTGTAGAGTTCTTTTGGGAAGAAGAGAAGGGGGGGGGGGGGGGGATACATCAGGCTGCAGTGCCTTTGGTCACATTTTGTTCAAGTTTGGCAAATCAGAGAGAGGCTAACACTCAGTGGGGAATCGGGTGAATGCATTCATCTGCATTGTGCAGTCCCAAAGTGCTCATTTGAAAGCCAACTGTTGGCAGCAGGAGACTGGTTGGTGTCTCCACTTGTTGGCCCCACAATGGACATGGACGCAGTCCATTGGGTTGCCGGATTCAGAACCTCGTTCTGTTCTTGCCATTTGTTGCGATTTCTTGTCCCCAAGGGCCTCTTCTGAGGATGCTGTTTGTGGTCTGGTGGCAAGGTGTTCGCATGTACAGTCGGACAAAAGCCCAGCAAAGCCCAATTTTATGTGGACGACACTGTGGACGTTGTGGCCATGCTGGAGAAGCTGGTCAGCCTTCCATGAGCCCTGAGGAGAAGCAGTGTTCTGGTGCCGATCCCGTCGCTTTCATGCTTTGCTCAGAATGGCCCATGGCACCACACCATGGGCTGCGGTGCCGCCTCTCACCAAACGCGCATCGTGACACGGAAGGGCGATGTCTCCCTTATGAGGTGTATCTTGTCTGGTGAGATGTCTTGAAAGGAGCATTTTGGGCTCCTTTTGCATGGGAAATAGACAGGAGGTGCTTTCCCTTGTCTTTCGATCCGATCTTGGACCCCCCAGGCCGGATTCCAACTTCCATTCACATTCTCAGCGTGGAGTTGAAGGATTTCGACTGGAATTTGTCGGGCCTGTCCGTGGGTGATGGGAGCCTTCTAGGGGCACAATGAAGGCCCCATTTTGACTTTTGTATCGTCTTCATTCGTTGCTTCCCCTGTTTTGGCACCGAAGGGAAGATTCGCCCCCCTGCTGGTGGAGACCACTTGTCAGCGACATCAGATCCCCAGCTGACGGTGAGGCCCATCACAGGGATGTCTGCATGACAGAGGTTTTCGAGAATCACGATTGTGGGAAAGTGTAAAAAATGGCCTGTGTTTTGAACCCTGATGGGAAGTCGTTTTGTTTTGTGATGCCCGTGTTCCGCCTTGTGGGCGGTACTCCTCAGCCGCCACATACAAAAACGCCGCACCAGCGTCAGCCCATTGGCACAAAGCGCAGCCTGGAGTGGGCAACCACCACCCGATGGCGGAACCCCATAGCGTTTGGCCCAAATGCGCTCATTGCGTGCCAACACCTGTTCGCACAAATTCTCCAAAACCAGGCGCGTTGATGCGCCCCCATGGAAACGCCATCGACCCAATCAAACGCCGCCAATATGTATAGGCATTGTTCGAAACACATTGTTGAGACAAGCCTGTTCTGCCAGTGGCCCCTCAGGAGTGTTGAGGGGGTGTTGAGTGCTTACTACACCTCCCAAACAGACCCCGCTCACATCCCCACATTGCACATTTTGGACATTTTGCATGCGAACTTCAACACGAGGCGACGCGTGACATTACCTCGCTGTGTTACCTCGCTAGAAAGTGGCACATTTTGCATTGGATGTCTTTCTGTTAAGGATGCATTCGTGTTCACGCCCACGTGGGAAGACGCCACCGCTTTTTTTTTCGCCCGCCCCTCGGCCGGTAAAAAAAGTCCCGAACCAGCCACTTGGGCTGCGGCGCAGCGGGTCCGGCGCATCTTCCCCCAAAACTAGCGGCCGGGCTTCCCGCCGGGCCGCCCCCACGCGCCCACCCGCCGAGCCGTCCCACCGGCGCGGGCATGCAGTCCTCCAAGAAGAAGCGCACCAACGACGGCGAGCTCACCAGGGACAACTTCGCGTCTCTGGACGACAACGGCGGGGTGGGTGCCGATCCGTCAACGACGGTCCGCGCTCCTGTTGGGTGGGCGGGCGGGCACGTGAGGGACTAGACTGCTCTCTTCCTTGGCCCTGACCGGGTGGTTTGGTAGAGCGGTGGGGCATGTCACCGGAGGTGCCCGGATCGATTCCCAGTTCAGTCATTTTCTTTCCATCCACACTTCAACACGCGCCCAACTCCCCCCTCCCTTCCCCGGCGCCCGTCGAGGCTGCAGCCCTCCCGTGCTGGCGTGCCTGATTGCGGTTTGGTTTGTGTGTCAGTTTGATGAAGATCCAGGCACTTTCGCCAGGGCATCGGCGGGCCAGCTCCGGAAGCGGCGCATCGTGCGCGTGCGGCGCAGCGGCGCGCAGGCGGAGGGCGCCGGGCCAGCCGTCGAGGATCGGCGCAATCCCTTCGCGGGGATCAGCCTGACGGGCGCGGCCGCGGGCCCCGGCGACGATCGCGGGGACGTGTCGGCCGGCCCGATGGCGGGGGGGGAGGGCTCCGCGGGGGCCACGCCGTCGGCGGATGCTGGCGCCGGGCAGGTGAGGATCGCGCCTTTTGCCAAATTCGCCCCTTTTGAGAAGGTATCCCCTTGTGAGAAGATCGCGCTTTGTGGGAAGATTGCCCTTTTGTGAGAACATCCCACCCTGTGCGGAGATCGTCGCTTGTTGGGCTTGTGGGGAAGTTGGGGAAAGTGCTGGCTGTTTGCGGCTCCTGGGCCTATATTTGTGCAATTGGGGTACTGGGCGGTGAAGGGAGGGATGGCTCGGAGGGATCGGGTAACCGTGCCGAAGGGGCCGAAGTGCTGCCGGTGGGCGATTGGGTTTGAAGCAAGTTGGCAACGTGCCACATGCACGCACCGTCCAGGGCCCCTGTGAGCGGCAAGATGGCAATGTGCCACATGCACGCACCGTCCGGGGCCCCTGTGAGCGGCAATCTCGGAAGGTACCAGTCCTTGCTGTGGATCGTGTCACGGATATTGCCTGGTGCTACGGGAGTGGCACGCAACCGATTCCATGTGGTCAGAACCAACGGCAAGTTATTGGGCTAATGCGCAACAGCTTCTTGTGGCAAGATGCTGGACAGATCGCGCTTGTGCATGGGGTAAACATGGGTTGTTCTATGCTACTGGAAGGATCCATTGTTGGTTGGCTTACAGGCCATTTGGTGCCCATCTTGAATAAGATGCCTATGCAGCCTGCACAGTTGGTGGGGCGGCCTTGGTGGGGCCCCCCTCCCTTTGCTGTGGTGGAGATCAGTGTCCAGTCAGCTAGCAGGGGTCGCTTGTCATCTGTTATTCAGTTGCCTGTCATGGTTGTTCGGTGTCCCTCTTGCCAGTTCTGCAGCATGCTACTTTTGAATGCCTCAGCGTGTTGTATGAATGCAAACAACACAAATGCATCCTGGGTTTGTGTGTGAATACTGGACATGCCACAGAGAACAATGCAGTGAATACAGAACGCTTTAATGAGAACACTGTGTTTTGGGTGAGCATGCTGTGAGGTGCAGTGCCAGTTTGTCATCTTCTGCACTGCGATTTGGTGCAGGGATATAGGAGGAGAGCCTTTCCCGAAGGAGTCTTTGTTTTGTCTTTCCGACTCCTGTTTTGAGCAGAGTCTGTACTCACTCAGAGGACTGTCTGTTTTCTGGATTGTTGCAGGCAGATAATAGCGGAACTGGCATGGGCCATTCAGAAGGTGCTGTGACACCTGAAAAGTCGAAAGTCGAGAATGGGGCTCAGGTGTCTGATGCCTGTGCTGGGCCCACTCCAATGTTGGGGACTGACGAGACTGGAATGGATCCAAAGAGAAAGCGCGAGGAAGGATCTGATGGCAAAGGGTCGGCAGCAGAAAAAGGTCCAAATGCTGTTGAAGAGCCAGCAAACAAAAAGGGAAAGGTGTGTGGGGATTTCCTTATTGTCGATCAGATTACAGGAAGTTGCAAGACAGGTTGTCTCTGTCCCTTGCACGTGCTCCAACTGCAAGTAAGATGCACGTCTGCGCCACACGTGGAAGATGTTTTGGGATGCCAACTACTCTTGTCCAGTTCTGTTGCTGTCCCTAAAGCAATGCAGGTGTGCGATATTCACAGCCAGAGGCATGCCAGACTGTCATTGTGGACCCTGAGTTGGTGAGGCTTTGGATTGCCCTGCGAACAGGAGTTCTGTCTCCTGGCCTCTTGCTGGCACTAGCATCGCCGACAAGGCAACAGGGGAGTGAAATGCCAACTGGTAGCATTAGGCAACTGCCATCCAAGGCCACTTACGCCCCCTGCTTGCTGTTCCATCCAGGTGGAAGTTGACACTGTTGGGCTTGTCTCTCCAAGCCCAAGCACGGGTGATGGATCCACCCCCTTTGCTGCCTTTGCTTCCTCAGCATCACCATTCCAAGGCATGGCTTCCGGAACTGACTTTGGGAACTCCAACATCTTCTCTGCCCCGCCGCTGAACCTGGGATCAGGGACAGCGCCGGCCTTCAGCTTTGGCACCCAGATCGCACCCCTGCAGAGTGTTGAAGGTGCTGGCCTGCTTGCGAAAACTCCCATGGGGGGAGGAGCGGGCAATCCATCAGGTTCAGTGACTCTGTCGACAGATGGGACCGGTGGACAAAGCCTACAGAACAAACCGCTGTTCTCAAGCGGCCCTGCGGCAAAACTGCCGCAGCAGGTGAAGGTGGTCACTGGGGAGGAGGACGAGAGCACCGTGTTTGCTGCAAAGGGCATCCTCTATCAGATGGATGGTCAGACATGGAAAGAAACCTGCCGCGGCGAGCTGCGTCTGAACGTGCAGGAGAAAAGGTCAGCACGCTTGGTCATGCGGCAGAAGGCCACCTTGAAGGTGTGTCTGAATGCGAACCTGTACGCGCAGATGCCCGTGAGCATGATGGACAGGTCCAGCGGGGTGGTGTTCCACTGCGTCAACTGGGCAGACGAGAAGGACGAGGAGGGAGGGGGTGCAGAGGGCAGCCAAGGGACGGCGTCGAAGGGCAGAGGAGGATCCCCAAAGGTGTATGCTGTGCGATTCGTGGACAAGACGGACTCTGGGGCAGCTCTTGCTGAGAGCTTCATGCATCTTGTCAACATGTACAAGGGCAAGGTGGCTGGCGGTGGCCCATCAGCGCCCCAGGAGTAGGCGAAGAACTTGCGACATTCTGTGTAGGTGTGTTGTCAGGACTGGCTTGTCCAGTGGTTTTACTCATCTTCGGGATGGCCAGGCTGCAGGCAGCTGCGTGTTGTGTGCACAGCCCTGTGATGGTGAAGTCCCAGCGAGGATATGTGCAAGTTCCATTAGTTGCTGATGTGGAAGCAGGGGTGGCAGTGAGGGCTTTAAAAAGGTTGCTTCTCAGGTGGCGCTGTGTGGCATATCGTTTGCGAATCTTGCAATAAGCACTTTGATCTGTCACTGTCCGATTAAGGGCGGGCACCTGCCCTGTGTTGCTGTGGAACCTTACCTTGTGTTAATGGTCGAACCCAGTGCCGCACTTGCTTAAAACTGCAGTAGTTGCCCAAAGCATCAATCCTCCTGCGCTGGCTGCACCATCGTTCCCACGTCACCAGCAGATAACGGCCCCTCGTCAGGCCAAGCAGGCTCGATCCAAGTACAGTTGGGCCCTCCATCCCCACGTCAGAGATCGCCCTTCTGTCGTGTCTTTATGGCTCTCCTACCCGTCTGAGTCCCTCAGCGTACAGCCATGGAGAAGAGAAGGCTGGGGATAGAATCGTGCTTGCCCACTCCTCTTGCCCCTCGGGGTGTGGCACCAGGAGGTGCGCTCCATCAGTGGTGTCGTCGTGGGAGCCGTGTCCATGACTAGACACGACCTGCAGCGTCCTCTCCAAATCAGTACGCGCCAGTAAGTGGAGGGAACGACAGGTTGTATTCGGCACGGCCTTCCAAGGTGAGGCACACACACCCCTGCAGAACACCGACTTGTGCATGGCAGGGAATTCGATTTTGGCCAGTATTGCCAAATGCAGGAGAGCTTGCGGTGATGACATCAAGTGCATGCGAACGCGTCGGGCTACGACGCGCTCCTCAAAGTCGTCGTTTTTGTCCCCCAATGCCAACAGTGAATACGCTTTAGGTGTCTCCATTCCGTGTTCTTGCCTCGCGCTCTTGTGCCTTATCCGTTTTGACCAAAACTCAACAGAGTCCTGATCGACATCCGCTCTCCCCAAACTCGCATCAGCATCAGCAACCACCCCTCTGCGATTTCTGAAAACTTGAACGGGGCTGTGCAGCCCTGATGAAGGCCTTATCCAAATGCGATACAGGTATCTGACAGCGGCCGTGCCACAGCTGGCGCCGAAACACCCTCGCTGATGACCAGTTCATTCTGAGTGGGTGATTGCTGCATGGCGCTGCAGAATTGTGCTTTATGCAGCGGCATTGACGGGCGTTTGGGTCGATAACATGAAGGTGCGATACCCAATCAATCCATACCAGCCTTGGAAACAGGTGTCTTAAGTACGGATACGGCGAAGATGCGCATACGGATAACTGCATGCATATTCCTGTATTCGAAAACGGGCAGAAGTCACGGATCAAAATCGTCAAGAAGATGCGGGTCGAAACAGCAGTGTTCATCACTGTTCAAATAACTTCAAATTCACGCAAAAATGCAACTGAATTTGAAGGTAGGTGGTAAGTCAAATGTTTGATTTGTAGGAGCCCTATCAAATTGGGGAAGTGAATGCAAAACCAGCAGACAGATTGGTTAACAGATCCTTCAGCAGGGCTTCGACAGCGTTAATTTATGGGGCCCCCCAGGAGGGCTGTGTAAATTTATCGGGGGTGCAGATGCCTCCAGGGGGCAGGATGTCCCACTGCGCCTGCAGAGCGTCCTCCCTGCACCTGAAACCGCCCACTGCGTTTCCAACCGTGCCGGCACAACGGCAGCCGTCCTGGCGCGTCTCTTGGCGTGGCGACCGGCGCTGGTGCCACGGGGACAGCAGTGCACCATTGGGCAATGACGAAGCAACGGAAGAGGACAGGGCGTACATGCGGCGCGCTCTGGGCCTGGCCAGACGCGGCCTGGGCGCCACGGCGCCCAACCCCGCAGTGGGGTGTGTCGTTGTGAAAAATGGTGAGGTGAGAAGCAGCGTGATCGTCTCCGGTTCGGGCGCGGAATGTTGCCAGCTCAGAGGGAGAGGTTGTCTGCGCGGAAACGGGTTATGTATGCCGTACTGCAGGCCCCCTTTTCAAGGAAAAAGTTCTGAGAGGCTTTTCGGTGTGGCAAAATGAATTGATGAATCCATTGTGGAACATGAAATACGACACTGTGGACATGGCGTGACACTGAATTTAGAGCATCAGACAACACTTTTTTCCAGCCGTCTACAATGACGTCGTCATCTTTGGCAAAAGCAACGCCCGTGTAACACAGAGTGATTCAGAAGCCTCGAAATCTGACAGAAATGGACCGTTTGTTGGGCTATTGTCAGGGACATTTCACGTGCAGTCAAGATGTTTCTTTGTCATCAACTGCAGCAGCTTCCACAGCCATGTCTCCTTCACCAAATCGGTGCATTGCTCCCTTTCCAGTGCACCCAGACTTTGCACTAACTGCAAGCCACGTTCAAGTATAACTGCTGCAGTTGCTGTCGCAGCAATTCAAGGGTAACCAGTTCTCATCCCTGCTATGTGCATCGCTCCTGTTTATTATGATTCCATTGAATGCATTTGTCGAATATTAATCGCCAACGAAGTGTTTGTATTGCCTGGAAGAGTGCAACTTGCACTAAATATTGCTTTAGTCAAGTTTTAGAATTCAAACCCTTGGCCCTGCTCGATGAAACTGCTCGATGTGCTGTGTCCAGTATATCAGCAGCGATCTCTTTGGCCTTAATGCACACAACAAATACCATAGTTGCTGGAGTGGAGTCTGTCTGGTCTGTTGTACTATCAGCATTGCAAAGACTGTTGGCAGCCCTGACAGAAGTTCACACATGGGATGCGGCATGCAATCGAGTTTACAGGCATCTGCAGCCTTCAACTTTTCAGCCGCACATGCTTCCTTGTTTGCTAGTGCAATGCATCCTCCCATGTGTCAATTCGTCTTGTATCTTATTGAATCAGTTGTCTAGTTACTGTTTATCATACCTACACTTTATCCTGTCCTGGATATTTATTCGTTGCATTTAGCAATTGGCCCAAGTGAAGTGATGGATGAAAAATTGGCATGATCAGCAAATGTGCATGAAGTGACAAGTAACAGCTGCAAACGGGTTCAATTTGTGAGTTGTCAGTGTCTGGGCAACAAGTGAGAAGCAGGCACCTCCAATGAAGTGTACTGGCACCAATGGCCCAGCATCACCCCGCAGCTCAAATGTTGGTGATGTTCATGAAAAGGCAATGAAAGCAAGAGAAACTTCCAATCCACTGTCCTGGGATGCCTTGAACTCTGAAGACTTGTTTGCTGGTCCTCAGTGGCCTTTCTGCAGCTTCAGATGCATGCTTGCCCTAACCACTGATGATTATCCCAGTTGCCCTAAATTTCACCTTTATTCTGTTCATATAGTCCACTATGGTTGTTCAGATGGCAAACACAACGCTGTACGGCCCCGTCTACTAGTAAAAAATGTGTAGTTTACCTAATGATGGGTTGATGAGCAGCACAATGTGTATGTTGCAACAAGCAGCACTTCTACAGTTACTTGCATAAGGTGCACATGGTTCAATGGATGCAGATTGGACTGCTCAGCCTCATAATTTCATTTATCGTGACTGCCAAATCACCACAAGGCACTCTTTCAGAGCAACTATTGTGCGGCTCTATCCCAAACTGTGAATTGTGGCTGAACTCCAAGCAGATAAGCGAACTGCCACACACCAGTAAAGATCGTAAAAACTAAGGCTAGGTGCTTGGGAGGGTGGGCAGGGGTGTGCCTGTAGTTGGTTACATGCTGGGCCAATTTGCTTCAGGTTGTCGGTGAAGGCTTCCATCCGAAGGCTGGTCTGCCACACGCAGAGGTGTATGCCCTGAGGGCAGCAGGCAACATGGCTGAGGGTGCCACCGCATATGTGACCCTTGAGCCCTGCAACCATTATGGACGCACACCACCGTGCAGCAGGGCACTTGTGGAAGCAAGAGTGAGCAAGGTCTGTTCAATTCCTGTTTGTGTTTGCACATATTGGTCTTGGCCTGTGGTGCTGTGTGCTTTGCACCTGTGTGTTGGGACTTCTATGGCATCTTTGTATCCTGGTAGAGAGTCTCACAAACACATTGGGTTCAGGACGCAGGTGCCCATCGTATGGCATGCTTTCTTGTTTGCATAGAATCTTTGGCAATGTCAAGCATGCACAAATGCATAAAGGTAATGAAGGCCAGTGTGTGTAACCATGCAATTTGTTCTCCAAACTGCTCACACAGATCCCAGCCTTCAGAACAGTCAGAAAATCAACTTGTCTTCAAACCAATACTGCACTTACCTTCGGTAATGGCGCATCTCAGTGACTGATGCAGGAAAGCAACCAATGAGAAAAAATTTGAATGCCTTCTGGATGCCAACGCTCACTCTTTTGTAGTCGATTGTCAAGCGACTGCTGGGACTGTGTGATGCACATGTGCTTCCGCCTTGCAGCCTCCAGCACCAGTGTTGCAGGGTCATGGTGCCTGAGGAGAAACTGGTAGGTGGGCTCACAAAAATTGCAAAAATGTTTTTGAAGGGCTGCCAATAGCACTGTACCGGTGGATGATGTTGGAATCAACAGTGTTGCTCATGATTATTACTGAGCGCACATTGCATTGAAGTCTTCAGAATATATCCTGCCTTGTCTGAGGAAATGCAGGTGCTTCATCTCTAATTCTGATAATGAACAAGATTGTGTGTTTGCCCAGCATGCCATGCAATTCATAGCACATTGTATTGCCTCTGGGGCTTGCATTGTGAAGCCCAATCTTTGTGCCCCCAACGTTGACGTGGTATCAAAACAATGTACCAACACACAAAGAATCTATCCAGCAACGGCACTGCTCGGCACAGTGTGTTTTGGTCCTCAGCATTGACAGCATGCTATATGTTGCCCTCAAATGCTGCCACTGTGCACCACAGTGTGTCTCCCCTGGTTGCTGGCAATGCACACAACATTTGATTTTTCCCAAGACTGCTGCCACAATGTTGTGATCCTGGACTTTGTGATTTGTTGTGCAGGTAGTCGTTGGCATTGTTGATCCCAACCCCCTTGTTGACAACGAGGGCATAAAGACGTTGCAAAAGGCAGGGATCCAGGTTGTGGTTGGGTGCTTGGAAGAGCAGTGTTATGAAATCAACAAGGATTTCATGGTGGGTATCCAGGAGCAGGATTCAAGCAGAGGCTGATTTTTATGAAAGAGCGCTCCGTGGATCAGGACAACAGCACAAACATACCTCCAGTTTTGGGCTCCTGGCCTTTTGTGGCAACGAAGATGATACAACGCCACAGCCTCGCTAATTTTGAAACTAGAGACTTCGAAGGCCGGCTAGGGTGCTCAACGCAACTTGGTGAAAATGTTGGTAGTGAAATGCTTGGGAACTGAATGCGGCTTGCTATGCAGAAGCGAAACTGGATATTTATACTTCCTTCATGCTGCTCTGTGCTGCACAATCACAACATACCATCACCTGCACATTCAGGTTGACTCTGTGATCCATCAGAGCGCACTTGACTGCTCCCATTTGCTGACCTACCACACAACAAGGTTGTGGCAAAACAGGAAAGATGGCCTGACTTCAATGGAGCATGTCGGCGTGATGTGGGGTTTGGCGCATGTCTTTGTTTAGTGAATATGTTGATGGTGTGGAGGGAGCCGCCTGTGTCCGGCTCACATGATGCTGCCCGCATGTTTGGGAACACTTTGCTGCAACAGCTCTGGCTGCCTGTTCTGTACGCCTGGGGAGCATGCACGCCAAAGGAACAGGCACAAGTTGCGCAGCTGATTTGCAGGCCATGCTCATCGCCTGGTCCTCAACATCAATTGCATCTCCCCATGCACCGTCACTGCACAGTGGGGGTACCTGTACAGCGTCCCCCTGTGACATGACTAAAAGCGGGGCTCTATTGGAGGCCGGAACCTAAAAGGTTATTTCTCCTCAATGAATTTAAGATCATTGTACCCATCAAATAGGACTTTCCGTCAGTTCCTACGAAGGAGAAGGCCCACTGGCCATGACACCGCCTGGCCAGCCGCACATCGCCTATCATAATCCAACATGTTGCATTGCGTTGCATTGCATACGCATCCATAGCACACCATGGTGGTAATGCAACTGGGATCACGGGACAGTGTACTTGGGGGGTGGCCACTACCACGAGTAGTCACCTCCTGCGATGGCTAATGCAGGTTACAATAACCGCAGATATCGAGCGATGCAGGTAGCTCTATCAGTGGTAGCTGAGGCTGCAATTGTGATAACAACAGTGCATGCTGTTGAGGCAGGGTGTGATAGGACAGGGCGCTGGCCCCTCTATCCACTGCTGTCTGACGCAACAATGCTGAACGCGTTATGTTGCGTGTGTAGATCATATTTGACAGCTATGCAAGCGTCATATATGTCCCACTTCGAAGTGGCCACGGTATGTTGGGAAGTCCCAACAATTACTGAATGACAATGAGGACGAAATGTTTGTCGCGGGTGGCTTGGTCCGTGGCCAGAGGGGGGTGCACACACTGAAAGGAAGCTCCTGGGCAGGACACACAATTGCGGTGATCCACCCGATGTTCTTGCACGAGGCCGGCAAGGCCAAGGTCGCCAGCGAGTGGGCGCATTAGTGCCCATCGTATGGGCTCTTAGTACGCCCACTGTTAGCTAAGAGCGCCGACAGCTTCCCTTAAGAAAACAGGGCTGGTGTTCTTCACCTGAAAAACACTGGTCAAGAACGCACCAAGGGAAGTTGGCCCGAGCGACCTTTTGCCTAACTGTGAGATCTGCATGAAGCCTAATCGCCGATGGCAAAGAGGGGCAAGTGGCAACTTGTCCCTCATGGTTACAAACCTAAAGCAAAGCACCAATGAGGAGGTCCTGTCCTTCAGCCCATTGGTGTCGGCGTCGGGCGTTCGCGTTGAGTTTTCAGGATGCAACAGCAGAGTCGCCTGGGATACGAATGTATTTCGATTTTGTAGTTGCCGCCCTCCAATTTTTGACATGAGGAAATGCAGACAGAACGTCCCGAACTCCAAACTAGCCCGTGAACCTCTTGTTCGATGCAACTTCAAATGTATGGCATAGCACAACATGACGTGAACGGCCGCTTGGTACCATTGGTGGCCTCCTCACCCTAAACACCTCACGAGAATGCTCAAATGAAGTTGTACGTCGACAGAACGCCTCTGCTGGGCGCACGTGAGCCTCTGACGCACTGATCACACGCTCCATTGTACAGCAGCAATGCACCTGCCGCAGAAAGCGCATCAAGCCAAAATTAGGGCGCTGCCGGGGGCCGGGGCCCATTCAGAGGGCACCGGGGTACCTCCGCCGTACCTCATGTCGCACTCGCATCCACGCAAACATCATCGGAGATGGCTGCAGGACCTTCTTGTGTGCCCCGGTCTCATCAACATGCAGTCGCGCACGCCCCAACAAGGTCCCCGCCGTGTCGGAAAGCGGCAAGGGGCCGGGCCTTCAGAACGGCGCACACACCGCCTGGGCGCGCAGCCCCACCAGCCCCACACCCCCCACCCCTTCTGATCGAAGCCCCACTCGTTGGGGGGCCTGCTCCGTTGCCAGGCGGTGGCGCGCGAGTCCAATCCTGGGCGTTGGACCAAGGGCGCCAGGCTGATTCCTCCGAACGAGGCATTAACGCCCCGCCTGCTCGAAGCGACGCCTGGGGCCAAGAAGTGCGGTTTGCCGGCCCTGTTGACGTCTCGGGAGTTTGAGCGGTTCGACGCAACGTGAGCCGTTCTTCAGGGGCCGCGCGGCCGGTGGTCATGGACCCGGACCGCCGTTGCGAGGGATCGCCCCATCGGACGAGAGGCGAAGAATTGCGGTGCTCCCCGGCCGCCAAGGCTGGCGGCTGCCCACCGGACCCGGAGCACAAAGCACTCTACCTGTCGACGGAGGTGAACGGTGAGGTGGTGGGCCGAGGGGCGTCCGGCCACACGCGCGAAGTGCCACTGATATGCTCCGCGACGCGGGCACGTCGTGCCTTGCAGCCCTGAGCGCTTCCCGATGCTCCCGGCAGTTTTATGCACATACGACAAGTCCACAGGTCGAAGCACTGAGTAACCGAGTCTGCACTCTTCTGCACGTTCCACGCACACCCTTTTGGGCAGCATGCCGCCAGCTCAGAGCTTCGCCAGCACAGGCCGCAAGGCGTCGGCCACCTCCACCGTTTGCTGTCCAACGGGAGTCCAAGTTCGATTTCCCAAGGAAAGCGGGAGGCGAGGGGAGAGACGCTCTTTTGAGGCATCGTGAGATTGTCCCAGCAAGCGATCGCCGGGCTCTGTTCGCGCAGGGAACGGTCTTCGCTCGGATTGGCTCGACGGGGGTCGAGGGCGGCAGCGCTTGGCGCCTCTACTGCCTGTGCGACGGGCGCGCCGGAAGCGCGGCGTCGGACTACGTCAGGGCCCACTTGTGGACGGCCCTCCGCCCCCTGCTGCCGGACGGGCGCCTGCCGGACACCGACACCGAAGGTGACGTCCGACGCCTGGGGGGTTGGAACGCAGGGTCCTGCTGGGGACGGTGGGGCAAAACTGGAGATCGACTGTCGCACGCACGGCTTTGAAATGATATTACTGCCCGCACCAAAATCGGTGACTGCTTGCACCAAGTCATGTGCACACTTTGTCCTAACCTCAATATTAGTGTTAGGGTTAGTTTCAGCGTGAGTTCTAGGGTTAGGGTTAGGGTTAGGACAGGTTTAGTTTAGGTTTTAGGTTTTAGGTTTTAGGGTTTAGGTTTTAGGTTAGGTTAGTTTGGACGGAGTTGGACATGATGTGCACGTGACTTAGTGCAAGCAGTCACCGATTATGTGCAGCCAGTAATTTTATGCCCACGGCTTTGGGCGAGGCGGGACAGCTCGTGGCGTCGGGTGGCGATGGGGGTTTCGTGCCCTTAGGCACCGCCAGCATTGTGCCGCCTTGGGGCGCTATGGCAAAGGGGCCGCCTTCGCGCCTTAGAAGCTGTCGATGTTGCGTGCGATAAGGGCGCCCCATCTCTTCACATCGCAGTGAGGCACTGGCAGCATGGTGCTTGTCGCGTCAGCGTGCATCATTATGGCCACAATTACTGAATCTGCTATCCAGCGCAGTGCTGGCAGCGAGTGACCCCATACGTGTCAGCTGCCACAGGAAGCGATTGCTTGTAGTGGCGGTCAGCTCCGGCGCATTGCCTCGCTATAACAAGTAGTAACTAACCACACGTTAAACACCATTAGACACAACCAGACATAATTGGACACAATTTGACCAAGTACAATGATAATTCTTTGGCCGATTCGAGCTCGCTGACGGGGATCATGAGTCTGCTCTGAGTGTAATACGGATTGAGCCTTGGGCGATGCAGATGGCCAGTGGCCACTGCCCACTGCCCAGCGGCCAGTGCCCAATGTTGCCCAACCTGAACTATTCCAAGTGAAGTTGCTAGAGGCGACAGGATGGGGAACGAACCTGTGCCACACCTGCATTGCTGTAAACAAATCACAGTTTGAGCTCACTCCCAAGACGAAAGGCTAGGGACCCTTCCACACTCAAAGAAGCGGTGATACGGCCTCCGCGTGCAGCAGAAAATTCCTGCTGCGCCTTAAAAGGCGGTGTTATTCACGCTCATCTGCAGGACTGGCTGACTAAGTTGTGCTGTGTTGCAGATTTCACACAGTTTGCGCGTGATACGAGGTCTGCAGTGATCGAGGCCTTCAAAAACATCCAGGAAGGCTACACAGCTGAGTGTACAGTTGGAGCATCTGGTAAAATTTGGGGCCTAGTGCTCAGAGACCCGATTTTGCATTGAATGGTACCATATGCATATGTCCACAATTTCCCGCATACGCAAGAGCTGCATTGCTCTTAACATACACTCACTAACATGTGCCCTTGGCCTTGGCAATAACCAGGGACTGTGCTCGCGCAGTGTTTTCAATTGCTGGATGGCATCCGTGAAGTATCGTGTGGCGCGATGGTCATCCCATTGCCATCGAGGGTGCACCCACGAACACTATGCCATACTGTAATTGAGTTCCTAGAGGGTGTGTTACAGGATTCCAAGGAACTGGTAGAAGCAAACGCCTCCCTGCCACAGTCGTTGGGACACAATAGCGTGAATGAAGATATGTTTGAATTTATGACCCATCATTTTCCACCCCAGAACCCTGCCCCATCACACGCGCCCAATGACGCCTTTGTCCA